CAAATTTAAGGAATGGAGGGAATAATTCATTGCGGACAAGTTCCGCGTAATTTCTGACTAAGTCTCAATTGATATGTCAATTAACTCCTGCATAGTCTGAATGGAATGGTTATTGTGTTAGACCGCAAGAAGACAACATAGCAAAGAACCAAGCTTAGTCGAAGTCACAAATAAAGTTGCAACAAGTGTATCATGAATATTATTATATTAACAACTTTTATTTAAAATTTTTTATACACATAATACCATTTTAAAATAGTAATATTTTAATTTAATATGTACAAACATTTAATCCACAAAACTCTACATTCTTTCCACCACCATGAGCCAAGCGTCGGCCCGGCCCCGCCCACTCTTTCTCCCATTCTCTCCCAGTCACTCCCACCAGAGTTCCCTTTCCACATCCTGCTCTTCTTGAATTTGTGAAAATTTGCTCCACAGTCTTGTACATCTCGTTTATTATCCGAGCTAGAGGCTGCTGTTCGTCAGAATACTGACTGCCGTCAACGTATAACGGGTGCTCGGTAAAGTGGAAACGTTTGTCTGCGAGTGCACAAAGTAAAAAATGTTATAAAGACAGTTCGATAATTCAACAAACTGCTACTGAAAACGAAGAACTGAATAAAAAAACCACCTCCGGTCAACTGATAATAATCAATTTTAGTAACAGTCGCCGCGAATAATTTGGCATAAGCTTTCAATTGCGTTGTTGCTGTCATAAGTTTGATAATATATAACAACGTCCCGTTGTGGGAAGACATCTTTGACTCTTCTACGGACACGGGAGAGCGTTATTTATAGAAAATTTTATTACAATACAAGGACGATCTATAAATTATGTTGGAGATCCGCTTCATCATTCTGATAGGGCTACCACACGCCCAGTCTCTTTTTCGGATTCAAAGTAAATGATCTGACAAGCGATCTACGAAGACTGCGACTTGCATCCAGCCACTTAGCGTACTAGAACAGTTAACCGGGGACCCTGTTCATTTATGCATCTTGATAATCAGATTATCACGCCAACCTCGGGGGCAATGACCGTTTTCTGTTTACCGTTTAACTTATTTAGGCAAAATGAAAAAAAAAAAAAAAAAAAAAAAAAAAAAAAAAAAAAAAAAAAAAAAAAAAAAAAAAAAAGAAAAAAAAAAAAAAAAAAAAAAAAAAAGAAAAAGAAAAAAAAAGTGAATATTAAAAAAAAATAGTAAAAAAAAATAGTATATACGTTTTATTTT